GGTTACAGCCTTTTTTCTCTTGTCCTTTCATTTATTTTTGTTGCCCGCAGCAGCTGCAACGCATTTTGTGTTAAGTTGAACAGAGACAATGTTATGTGTTTCGGCAATTTACTAAATATAGAATGTATTTACTAAATATTCATTTAATTTATTTAAATTTGAAATTAAACGCAATGTATTTAATTATTTATTATGCTGTTTTCAGGTCTGGGACTTACGTGTTCGGACCAACAAGGCCCAGACGGTTGACACGGCCAGGCACGGTTCTGTCTTGAGTATGTGCTACAATCCGAGTCAACCTCATGTGCTTGCATGCGGTACCGCGTGCGGAGCAGTCGACTTTTATGACCTCCGACAAGACCTTTGTGTAACCTCGTCTCTGTCTCTGCACAAGAGTTTTGTGTGGGAGGTAAAGTTCCATCCGACATACCCGGCTAATCTGTTCACGGCATCTAACGACCAGACACTGCTGCACGTCAGTACTTCGTTTCTGCAGGACAAGAAATTGTCTTCGCAAGTGTACATTAGTGACTGAAAAACTATGGTCATCTTCGAACCAGTGACTTTTCTATATTTCTCTTTTTAGTAGTAATCCTTGGCTACTTCCTGATCTGGAGTTGAAGATACGAACTGTTCCGTTGCTGCCATTCAACGTCATGTCCGTCAATTCTGTGGACGTCGTGTTCAACAGTCTGGTCTGCTGCACTGATAACGAGTCACTGTGGATACTGAAACACCCACTGATATGTTGATCTACAGAAGGCTGGAAGAAGTGTGTAAATTTTTAAAAGTTAGTCTATTCCTCCTTTCATTATACTCTTAGCATCATGACTAGGTTGCTATATAGTAGATGACGAATAGAAGACGGATCAGACAGCAAGTTTCTTTTCTTAACCGTTGTAGCCATTTGATTATATCTTTGGAAGGTCATTTTCAGTACACGGCAATGTTATTATAACCGTCCATCTTTTCAGTGCGATGGTTTTGGGTATGACAAGATTCTTCTTTCTCTTTTTTGCCGACCTTTTGGCTTTTTGCACAGAAGTCATCGTCAAAGATATTTCACAACACACGATTTGTCTATAAATAAATAATTTAGACTTCAAATCAGATGTTTCTGCACTACTGATATTCAAAGTCTGGTTTCAGCTTAATTTGAAATATTTTCACTCTCTAATTCCATTCATTTATACTACTGGGAAATTGATGTATAAAAATACGATACTGCTTTATGTTATGGTTGGAGCTACACTGGCATCCCGCTTCGATAGCGAAGTTACGCTTTTAGACTCGGTCGTATTTTAACTGTCTGACTGTAATTTGGTTCCTTTTCTGAGAAACAGCGACTACAATAAATATCTTAGAGAATGACTGTGTAGGGCTGATTGCACCCACCATAATAAGTAACAAAGGTTTATTCAGATCTGATGATCTTCATAAAGGTTTTAATTTATTTTAATTCTCAGTATTGATATTTCTTTATAATGGAAGTAAAATTAAAATTTAGCCACGTCCAGCGAACCAAAGGCAGATGAGCAGAATCAAGCTTCGAAAGCGTCTTTTATGCGTATTTTGCCATCTGTTTTGTTGAATTTAGCGCAGAACAACGTTGATTCCTTCTGGC